GGGAAGCGTTTAGAGAGCTGGAGAGTACAGTTTCTGGTTCTAGCTACTGCTATCCTTCCCTGTCCTGGCCCCTGAGGTGCTCTGCTGTTCTCTGGAAACCAAGTCAGAGCACACATCTCAATGCACCATACGTTAGCTCAGGAGCTGTGCAAAACATTCAGTGAGCCTCAAGGATATGTGGGATCATACCTAACTCAAAACAGATCTCTGTTGATCAACAGATCAACGGGCACAAATTGAAGCATAGGAAGTTCCGTCTGAACAGGAGGAACAACTTATTCACTCTGAGGGTGATGGAGCACTGGAACAGGCTGTCCAGGGAGGTTGTGGAGTCTCCTTCTCTGGAGATATTCAAGACCCGCCTGGACAAGGTCCTGTGCAGCCTGCTGTAGGAGACCCTGCTTCAGCGGGGGGGTGGGCTAGATGACCCACAGAGGTCCCTTCCAACCCCTAACATTCTATGATTCTATGATCCTATGATTCACCTGAGTAATTTTCTAGACATGTAGGCTTTTCAACTGAACTGGAGGTAATGGATTTCCCTTTCTGAGGGCAGAGCTCTCTCTGGACTGTGGGTTAAATCTGAGCCCACACTACCATCCTAAAGACTTTGTAACCAGGCAAGCGAGGATTTCCCTGCCATGAAGCATATAAATGTAAAGGCACTGTTATCTTTCTTGTTGCTAAGTGCCCCCTAGTCAGAGAGAGCTCTTAGCAGCTGTCAGAACTGCTGCACTATAATTTAAAGTGAACTGTAAATCCCTGAGATGGATGAAGGTATCAAGTTGGATGATCTTGCAATGGTCAGTAGAGAGGCTGCTGGTGAGTTCAATAACTACGCTTGACAGTCATGGTGAAAGATGACAACGCAGATTGAAAGGGTGATGGCAAAGAGGATCAGAAAGACACACCAAAGGCTTAAGGACAGGTGTTATAAAATATTCTCCAGCAGGCAAGGTTGTATTTTTTTCAGCTTCCTTCTGACTGGAAGTTCCTCTAGGAAAAAAAAAAAAAAGTATTCCATATTGCTTGCAAACAAGCAGATATGACCCTTGGAGCAAGTGAGGTAGAGTGTTCTCCTGTCTTCCAGTTTTCCTTCCACATCTTTGTTGCAGCCTTTCTCCTTTTTTCTGGTTTTCTGCTGAAGAAAGTCAGCTGGGCTAAACAGACAACTGTCCCCTGCTCCATAAGATAATGGATCCAATAATTATCCAAAGACAGCTTGGAGGGACCTATTGCTCAGTAGCCATCGTGGCAAATCAAGCTCTCCAAAGTGCAAAGAGGAAGGTCTTAGCAACTCTCCAAAATGCAAAGAAGGCAGCTTGTAGTGTTCTTACTGTTTGTTTTGGCTTTAATTTGTGTTTAGGAATTACAGAATCACAGAATGTTCAGGGTTGGAAAGGACCTCTGTGGGTCATCTAGTCCAAACCCCCTACCAAACACCTCTGAAAAGAGGAACACAGTTTGCATAAGCCAGATCCCCCACTAAGGTGGCACTGTGGAACACCTACTCAATCCAACCATATTTAGTGGGATTCCAATGCAGGAACAGCCATATCAGATTCTACCTGGAGTTCATACAGCTTACCCTTATCTTTGATACTTTTTGGGTGTTTTGAAGAGGCATGTAAGAAATCTTAAGAGTGGGAACCCATGGAGTAATTTGCTCACAGGGATTCTTACTTTTAACATGCACCAAAAACCTGTACTCTGAGGGTTTATTTATCTTCTTGGGTTTCTTCTTAAAATCCAGAAAAATACTATGCTACTTGATATAGAGTTTTCTGATACTGAAATTAAAAATCTAACCTTTCAGAACCCGTGGTTTTGAGCACCAGTAACATTTGGTGGCAATGGATTTCAGAGGGCATTTATACCTGATATTTTGAGCAGAACATCTGCAAATACGGGAAGACTAAGCCTGACTGCTTCCTGGCACTTCTCTTGGCCAGAACTTCTGACTCTAAATTTATCAAAGGGTCACTTTATCACTGCCGCCTTCAATTTCTGATTCACTTCCAAAATCAGACTTTGGAGATCTACACTAAGACCTGCTGGAAGAAGCAGAGTCCTGGCCCTCTTGTGAGGGATGGCCATGCAACTTAACAGCATGGCCTTTGCAAGCCCCTAGTGCCTGGCTTCATCAGGGTTCCAAATAATGTGCCGCTCCAGCGATGTTAAACTAGATTAACTGTAAGCCACCAAGAGATAACCACACTATATTTCAGTTTATTAACCACCCAATCCCACTTTCAAACTTGGGAAGGGCAAATTATAATTGAAAAGATCTTAGCAGAAACATATTCTGCTTTCACGGTTTATGGATATGCATGTTTAAGCTATCATGCCATGACACTGTGCTATTTGATTTATGTTTTTACTGATGCTTTGACTGAGTAGTTTGTTGCAATATACTGCTAAATGGAGGAAAAATCAGAAACTGCATCAGACAACCACTCTGTATTTCATTCTAGAAAATAGCTGGCAATTATAATTACTCACCATGTTTCTGGCTCAGAATAAAAGTGGCATTGCACAAAAACCACACTGAACATTCATCGTGATTAGAAAATGCTCCATACCTTGGAGTGCAGTGGAGACATAAGAATAATTTTAAATGCAAATTAAATTGTGGGGGTAGCAAAGAGAACAGATAAAAGACAGTAAAACAAAGCCTTTCACTTTCCTCAAATTTGCAGGCTAATGTAGTATAAAAAAAAGCAGTTCTACTCAGATCTGTGCTAAGAGCTTTAATTTCATCATAATATAAAACAGCAGATCCGTCACCTTCCTCTATTCAGTACTCCTGATTTCGAGGTTGAAGTGAAAATTAGAAGCTGTTCATTCTGGCTCACAGACTGGGTTGCATTTGCTTAAGTCTTATTCCATGACAGTAGAATGGAAAGAGGTCAGTAACACTGGTAAGTACTTATTTCCTGCATCTGATGTTGCTTATTTATTTTAAAAATCTTTCACAGTGCTTTGGCTTTTTATCAATATGTATTTCCTGAAAAAAGCTACGTCGTGTACTTTGTGAAAGGCTGTATCTTAAGCAGAAATGCAATGATTCCTTGAGAATGCTTGTATCAGATCTTAGAGCTCCTTCAAGAATGAATGAATTACTTAAAGTAGGAATTCTGTAATAAGAAAGGTTTCTGGATAATCTATATATTTCATACCATCACTGGAATATTTTATGTGTCGCTTTTTCTGTCTGCCTTGTCCAACAAGCAGTACCAGATAAAAAATTAATCTCTTCAGGATGTTATTTGCATTATATCCGTAGCAAAACCTTTAACAATCTCATTACCCTTGTGGTAAATGATGGAGAAAGTAGGTATTTTACTTACTGAAAGCAAATTATTAGACAAAACACAACATTACAGTTAATCATTATGAAACACTTAAAAATATCTCAGAATATGAGATACAACAAGGAAGATCTGAGTGAAAAACAAATTCTTAAGGAAACTTGATGTAGATTTTTTCTTTTTTCCTTGGGAAAGTTTTTATCAAATCAAAACCAGGGGCTTGATTTTTCAGTATGAAGGGTGAGGGGGAGTGGGGGAGATGATCGTAGTGTCACCTCCTGTTGCTAAGTAACAACATCTCCTGGCCATTTTTATCTGATAAAGGAAGTCCAGTTGACGTTATGCATTATTCATCAGAGTTCCAATCAAACAATCAAAATTGTTCGCTTACACTGGGGACATTTAGTAAGATCAAAGAAACCCTCCTTGAAACTACTGGAGCTTACACCACTGCCAGGCAGCTCTTGATACTCTGCAGTAAGTATCATTTCTGGTTTGGGAATGCTACAGTAAAGTGAATTGCTGAGGAATTTTAAAGTTTTCTCATCAGGACAGGCTTCTGATTTTTAGAAAGGACGGGATGTTGATTGACGAAAACTGAATTGAAGGAATAAAGGAAAGCTTTGGAACCCTGGTTTCCTGATTTTTGCCAACGTAATTAAAGGAACTGCTCACAGCAAGGGTCAGACTCTCTGCCCCAAACCTTTCTACTAGGTTTGCACGGAATAGGAGTAGAGGTATTTTTGTCTGTCTTAAAATAAACATTGTACAGAGCTTTTTTATGCTTATGATTATATGCCGTCGCTAACTGAAGTGTGGAGGAGAGAACTCGATTGCATGTTTTCTGCAAAACTTGTTTTTTTTATGTGAATTGTTCAGAGTAGAAGAAAATGCAGAAGGTAGCAAAGAGGCTGGAGAAGGGTCACAATAATGTGCTTAATCCCAGGAACTCTGGCCGGCAGAGGCAAGCCTGATTCTGTGTACCTCTTGGACAGTTGTAATCTAGGATCTAGGCAGATCCGAGGTTCAGAAGAATGCCAAAAATATAAACCTTAGTAAGAAGCAGTGCTAGGAGTAGCCTACCATTTCTTCATGATTGCTCTTATCGCATGTTTTAAAACTGATGGTGGGATGTTCTGTTGCTATTTCTGGTCAGTAAGAGAGGAGAGGGAAGGCAAGGTTGGTTTCTGGTCATTCAGGTGGAATGAAATGTCCAGAATATTGTGTCTTCTAGTACAGTGTTTTGGCATAAGAGGCATGAATGCTATCTTTAATGTAGTCTGTCACAGTAGTGCCTACTCGGAGGTGCTGGCTGTGGACACGGCTAAAGAAGGTCCCTGGCTCAAGCTTTTCTGATCTCCTTTTCAAGAGCAAACGTAACAGGCAGGTGAATCTAAGTATGTATTGTAAGAAATGGACGCTGTGGGTAGAATGAAGGTGATTGTATTAGGAAGGTACTAGGAATCTTCCTAATACTGCAGTAGAATTTTTCCTTTGTGTCTTTATACAAGGATTTGAACCTCACATCCTAAAATAGAAAAGGATGCTTATGTAGTTCTACGAATAGTGATTTGAAAATGCTTTGATCCTAATATGCCACATGAAGTACTTTTGTGACTGCCTACACAATTCTTTCCACAAAGAAATTCACCAGCTTTTTTCTGTCTGACATCTCTGTAATCTTTCCCAGGAATCTGACTGATCATCCATACCAGAGTACTGTACACATACATAAAGTTCCTTCAAAATGGATTACTTTTTGGATGTCGAGTCTGCTCACAGACTGTTTTACAGTCAAGGAGCCCAAGGTAAGAAACTCTGGCACTGACTCAGAAAATGGCTATTTTAACTGTACAGTTAAGATGTTTAGGGCCAGAGAGGGACCAGCCTTTGTGACTGACCTACTGATGTGTACAAAGGCCAGAGGGAAAGGCCTTCTAAATGTGTGGGGTGTAAAAGGGTTTACAAGAAGAGTAATGATAGGGTTGATCTGCCCTCTCGGAGGATAAGGAAAAGCCATGAGAGCTGTTGGGTGCACAGCAGGAGCAAAAGAAACTGCCAAGATCCAGACTCGCATGTTGCAGAACCCAAATGGACAAGTCAGAGGGGACAGTAATGGCCCGCTGCTTGCTGTGTCAGCCTGTGGTGTCCTTCCTCTTTCTCCTTGCTTATCAATGCTGTCAGGATTATACTGTGGCGTTATTCAGTGCTGCAGGAATAAGCCCTGAGGCAGCCCAGCACACTGTATGCAAGCAGTAGGCTCTCACTGGTCTGCATCCTTCTCTGTGAAATGCTGGCCCC